TACACCTTTCTGTTTCCTGTACCGTGGCTCTGAGACAGGGAAATGCTGACAATTTCTAGGGCAGCTCCTCTGCTTGGCACACAGGGAGAATTTGGAGTATTCACCACATGAATGGACCTAAGACCTGCTCAGGTGAGATTCAAAGTAGGAATCTTGTATGTGCTTGTCAGGGAACACTGGGGACAACAGTGGCAGAAGTGCCCCTAGGTGGGCACAGGAGGAATCGGCCTGGAGGGGGTAGAGGTCATATGCCAGAGGCATGGGCAGCCAGTGGGAGATAATGCTGAGGGCATAGGCAGAGGAGGTAAGTCTGCTTGGTCCCTAAGGGAGTCGGTGGGTGGCATCGTGTTCCTCTCACACTCAAGAGTTCCCTGGCATGTAGGTAAGGATGGAGAACAGCTAAGAGATCTAGACACCCCCCTCTCACCCCTGGCTGCACTGTGCTCTCACCTAGAACAGCAGCCTCTTTGTGGGGTGGGGAGGACCCAGGGGACCGTGTCTCAACACTCTCACACAGGAGACTTCGATTGCGACAGGTGTCTGCCCAGGCCGTCTCCTAAACACCACCAAGAAGGGCTGCCAGCAGGGCATCGGCAAGGTGCTCTGTCTTGGGGTAGGAGTCATCCGCTTGGAGCCACTAAAGATGAATAGCATCCTACACCAGATGACTGTGCCCACAGCCAGTTAGCTCTGGGCCGGAGAGAGACTAACTCGGGGGCGGGGGCCTCGGCCTCGGTTCTGACATAGGAAAGACTCTGAAATCACTCTGGACTCAGTCTGAAGAGGACAGTCTGGCTTAAGGAGGCGTCCCCTTTCCCTGCCCATCTCTTACTGCACAGGTGACAGCCGTGTTTCAGGACCATCATGGTATAAGAGAAGGTGTGTTCATATAGTGACTGAACCTACCTGGTTCTAAAGCTCAGCTCTGCTGCTTGGCATGCATGCCAGTATATTCCCGATGCTTTCGGGGTGGGGTGGGGGCTTCCAAGGCCAGGGGCAGGCCTGTCACCAGAAGCTTGCACTAGCAGTAGCCTAGGACCAATAACACCGGCAGACCCACCTGCCACAGTCCTTGCTTGCCTTGGGTACGGCGCTTCTATCTGTCTGCTATTCTTTTGGGACTTGGCCCCATGTAGATCAGCTTGCCCCTCCCAGCTGTTGACAGTCTGGTAGTGGTGATGGTGGGTCCTGTCCTTGACTGACAAGAAGCACAACCAGGGTACCTTTGTGCGCACTCCGGGGCCACGTGTGTCACATGCCTCGAGCCTGGGAAGTCATTCTGGTCAGTTCAGAGAATTTCTAGAGCCTAAGTATCAGAGCGCAGAATATAGCTGAGAGGCCACCAGGCTTGCATTGCACAATCCCACCTCAGGTCTCTAAGCTGAGAGAGCACGAGTCTTCCAGAACAGAGCCCGGGGAAAGGAGGTGTGCTCCAGCTTTGTGGAGGTATAGCTGCTAGCACAGACTTTGGAATTAGCCAGACAGTGCCCCGAGTGAGGCATGTGGCCTCTCTGGCCTGGATGTCCTTCTCTGTCCCTCTCATGAAGCGCTCATGGAATGGTTGTGAAAGTGCATCTTTGGAGCCCAGTCCACAACGAACACTCTCAGCTGATGGACACCATCAACTGCGCGGTTGTGTTAACTCTACAGAAAGCCCCTGGGGACCAAGAGAGGGTGTTTCCATGGAGAAGCAGGATGGCCTGTCCAGCTTGGGAGCCTCAGTGCTACAGCAAGGACCCAGGCCATTGCATCACACACGGCCCTGCTGGATCAGGGTTCCCTGGGGCACACAGAAGCCCGGCCGTTATGCTGGGGATGATGAAAGCCAAGCCCCTAGCAGCACGCCACGGGATGTGGACCACCTTGGGTTTCGTGCTGAGCCACAAAGGGGGTGTCTCTTCCTGGCCGGAATAGGCCACACAGAAACTTCTGGTCCAGAGTGGGGAATGTGCCAGTGACTTCTGAGAGCCACAGACCTCAAGTGAGGGAGACATTCTGTTGGGCTCTAGAGAAAGCCAGGCAACTCTTTCTAAGAGGTGGGAAGGGCCCACAGGCCCAAGGACCTCAGATTCTCAAGCACTATTGTATAGAAGGCCAGAGCCCACATAGAGAACTAAGAGTTTTGCTGGGGTTTGGGGGCTACTCAGTGTGTATCCGGTATGAGGTACCCCCCCCCCCGGCCAGCAGGCAGGAACACTGTGACATTGGGCAGTTCTGAGGTTTTCTGATGCCCAGCCCCACTTCTGCCCAGGCTGGAGACCTTTGCTCTCTGGAGGCCTCCTTCAGCCTCTATCCCCACCCCAGGCTGCAGTACAGCAGCCGTGAGGCAGGAGAAGGACATATCCGTCTACAGTTGTTCACTGTGAACCTGCTTGGGACCAGTGGCCTGGACGGCTTTGTGGTGACAGCAGAGACTAAGTAGGGGTGGTCCCTGACCCTGGAGGCCAAAGTGGACACCCTGGTACCGTACTGACAATATGGGGCGCATTTAGTAACACTCATGTTCCAGAACAGTCCTGCCAGTCAGGAGAGGCTTGCTTGATCATGGCTATGATTCAGCAGTGGGCTCCTAGCAACTTCACACAGACCTTGCTCCACTGCGGGGTCCTGGAATAGAGGGAGGACACCACCATAGTGTGGGCGTCCCCTGGCTGCTTCTCATCTATCACTGCTACTGAACAGGCCACCCCTGTTAGATAAGAGTGAAGTCTCCTGTTAACTACTGCTATTTCTGGTCCCCAAGACAGGGGCAGGAAAGGCTACCCAAGTGCCCATGGCCCACCCTTCCCCTCTCCCAACCACCCACTGACCCCCAGCAGAACCTCAGCAGGTATCTAGCCCCCGGGGGATCCCCGTACTCCTTAGAGGAGAACGTTCTTTGGAAATCTGGATTGGGACCGCAGGAAAAGACTCAGAGGATTTAAGAGCTCTAGGGAGGACTATGCCATCAGGGGCCACCAGAGGGCGCCTGGTCCTTGGAGTCCAGGTCTGGTGGCACAGAACCAGACAGGACCCTGAGCTTGGCTGCCCCTTGGGCTCTGGCTTATCCCGGAGGTCACCCTGCTTCTCTTAGTCTGTGTGTTAATACTCTCTTCGGTGCTCCGGGGCTTGTGGAGACTCTCTCTCCCACTCTGAGGGCTGTGAGGTGCAGCCCAAGGGGGTTCCGGGGAAGTGTGGCACCAGTTCTGAGGTGCCCCAATAGGGATGGAGGAAGAACACAGCCCCCAGCCTTGCAAGCCAGTAAGAGGGGTCAACAGACACTGGGCCCCAACTTGTATGCCTGCAGTAATTCTGCAGGGCACCCACACATCCCAGCTGGATGGACAGTGCCCACAGCTGACACAGACATCACCGCATTTTTACTTGTTTTGAGATCCTAACTCCCACACCCCCCAACCCCCGGGCGGTAAGACCCAGAATCTCTGGAAGGCCCACATCTCTGCCTCTTCCCTTTGCCCTCGCCACTGCCCACACTGCCAGTCCTTGCCTTCACCGGCACAGTGTCTGTGGGTAGGCACATTCTTAAGAAGGTCCCCAAGAAGGCATTAAGACGGGTGGGCCTGGCCATGCCATGGGGAGCTGTAGGCTGGAAGGTGTCAGACTGGGGTGTGAGGGGAGCTGGAGTCTGGCAAGGATCAGAGGTAGGCAAGCATGCCCGGGTTTAAGTTCCTATTTATGTGTGTTTGGAGGAGGGGAGGGCAGGACCTCCTGCTGCTGCCAGACACCCAGGTGGTCTGTGCCCGGAGAAGTGCAGGAGGTGTGGCCTTGACATAGCAGGGCTGTCTGCAGAGAGGCATAGAAAGGCCTGTACTAGGGGTACTTGAGGGGAGCTAGCCGAGAGACTGAGGTATCTGTGGGTTCTGTCTCTCCCCAGAGCCTGGCTACTTACTACCACATCACTCCCAAGCAAGGTAAGGCCACAGGCTACCCACTCTGGGTGACAGTCCTGATCTTCCTCGTCCAGAACGACTGTGGTACCACTTGAGCTTGGCTTCTAGCCTGCAAGCCCCTTCAGTTTCGGAAGAACCCTACAGCGGGAATTCCCTGCTCACCAAGGCCCTGGTGTTGCACTTATCCAGGGGAGCTCCACACACATTTAAGGGGGAAGCCTGCGGCTGGGGAGGTCCTTAGGACATTGCATCGGCGCTCCAAGCTCATAAAGATTCGGTTCCCAGAGCTCCTGAGGCAGCAGGGAAGGGAAGGGAGGGGAAGAGCTGCTCCCAGCAGCTGCAGGGCCGAGGCCGCCGCCAGGAGGGCCGCTCTTCTTACAAAGAGATGACAAGGCCCCTGGGCGGGATCCAAGACGCCGACCACCTGCAGCTGGGCTCGTAGCTCCAGGCGGCCCCAAGTGCCCGGCCCGACCACGAGTGTGCAAGGGCAGGGGCGCTGGCGGGCACAAGTTCCTGGGTAGGAATCCCAACGAGCCCTGGGGTCGCCTGAAGCCCACAGAGGGCTCACATTTTCTTGGAATCCAGGCTTGCAGGATAGGATCTCCTCCCATAAATCCCACTTAGGCTGCTCCTGCCGTGGACCCGAGGGAATTCCTAAGTAGAACCTTGAACGCCTCTGGGAGAGGTCCGCATAGAGAAGTTCCCAGCCCTCTGCCACCGGGAGCTGTGCCCCAACAGACCGGCCCACAGCTACCGCTTGCTTCACCGGCACACTGGGCCAAGTCAGGGGCTGAAGACGCCCAGCTCCAAGCCTGACCCGAAGGGAGTGCACCGCGCTGGGGTCAACTCGTTCCTAGCCGGGCCAGAACAGTGCTAAAGGGAAGGAACTCCAGAGCACAGTGACTGGGAACTGGGAAGCAACAGAGCGGATCGGAGCTCAGAGGCGAGGGCCGCGGGGTACAGAGCAGTTGAGGGGCAGAAGGCCACTCCAAGTCTAGGTGGCGGGTTCTGGCGCCCGGGGCTAGCTGCGGCGCGCGGGTCAGGGGCCCAGATCAGACCTCCTGAGTGCTGGGGTCCGGAGCCCCCGGACACTGCCGCGCCCTTACTCACCGGAGATCTCTGCTTGGGGCACGTCGCTCAGGCTAAAGCCCTTGGCCCCGTAGATCTGACGGACTTCGCTGCAGCTCCGGCTCTTGCTGGCGGGGTCCCCGAGGACGCAGGCGACCAGCGCGGCGATCGCGCATAGCAGCCACCAGCCTCTGGCCCGAAGCTCCATGGCGGGGGCCCGTGGCTCCCTGGCCGCCCGCGCGCGCCTCCCTCGCTCCCGGCCGGTCGGCCCGTTCAGCCCAGTCTGCGAAGGGCAGAGCCAAGGTCCCGGCGCGCGCGGCGGCTCGTGGTCCAGTGGCGGCGGCGGCGGCCGAGGAGGCGGAGACAACAAAAGCCGGCTGCGACTGCGGCGCGAGGCGCGAGGCGCGCGAGGTCCAGGCGCTCAGTCGGGCCGCCCAGAGCGCGGCGGGCGAACGCGCAGCCCCGGCTCAGCGCCTCCCCCCGCCGCCCGCCCGGCCCCACGGCGGCCGCGGAGAGGGGCAGGGAGGGGCGGGGAGCGCGGGCGGGAAGAGGGGAGCGCCCGGGCGGGGCTAGGCGGGGCGGGGCGCGGCTGGGGGCACGATCGGGGCGCACCGGGCGCTCCTCTGCTCTCGGGAAGGAGGGGGTGCGTGCAGGCCCTTCCAGTCCACGCGATGTGCTCGGTTGCTGGGGTGGGGGAAGCAAGGGAGGGGGGAACCAGGAATGCAAAGCTGAGTCCAGGGTCCCCGAAGGTGCCTCCCCCCCACCCCCGAAGCCCAGCACTCAGGGCGGAGGCACCACCTGTGGGGGCGGGGGCGGGGCGGGGGGGGACCGCTGAGGCAGGGCTTCCCTCGCCGGACGTGACATCACGTCCTCCCCCGGCCAATCAGGGGTTTCCCCGCCCCCTGCCGAATTCGGCACCTCTTTGCTCCTCTCCATCCTTCTGCGTACCCGGCTTTCTCTTTCAGCGGTTCCACAACTCTGTCTTGGTCCCTCGCTTCCCTGCTCACCTGCACGCCCGAACCCCCAACAGCTCCTACCTCCTTACGCCTTTTCTAGCTGCTCCTGCTCGGCTGCAGTTCTCATTTGATGTGTTTTGGAGGAGGGTGAGGGGGCTGAAGGCGGGAAACTGGCCAAAAAAACTAGCCTTCACCAGCTTAGATGACTTATATGTTGCAGATTGTCAGCGGGTGTTTCGGTCCCCTCTTCGTGACTCTTGGGCGACAAAGCAATGGGACAGAGGCAGGTCTGTGGGCTTGGATGCAGGGTGGCAGATGATCCCTGGAAAGGAGTGGAGTTGGGAGACTATGCAGGGCAGCCCAACCCTAGACATGTTGTGGAGGACGGGCATCAGCTGCCAAGCAGAGCTTCAGGGACGATGGGGGAGGTGGGGAGGGTGCCTGGCACCCCACCTGGGCACTGGTGGTGCTGGGTTTGGAGTTTCTTGCTTGTCTGCTGCCGGTGGCACTGTCTCTCCCGTTTTTCCCTGTGCCCTGTGGGTAAAGGCCTCACAGGCCATCATAGCTGAGGTCAGACTGTGAACCCTGATACATAATCTGGAAATCGGAAGGAAACAAAGGAACTGGCTCACTTGGTTGAGAGTCATAAGATAACGCCTATGCAACAAACGAGTTCAGGGCCCTTGGATTCAGCTGGGTCAGGACCTATGGGTTTGTGACAACACCCGTAATCACTCAATATGCCTCTCCTTTCAGGGCTCCTAAACCGTCAGACTGTCATCTCAGGAGGCTGGGGTTCCTGCCCTAACTGCCAGTGAAGTTACCCCTTCATCCATGCATACAGCCATTACTTGGGAGCAGCAATGGGGACCCAGGCTAGGAGAGCAGATCTCCCCACACCCCTGCCCTGAAACACTTTTCCCGACTCACCAATCCCCTCGCACTGCATGCTGAGGCCTGCCCCTTCTTGTCCAGGCCTGGCAGGCCAGCTTGGGCCCCCTGCCACCTTCAATAGTGCCCTTGCGCCCGACCCAGGCTCCTGCTCGCTTTATGTGCTCCCCATGTGGTCTGGCTCCCCACCACATGCCTGGGTATCAGCGGGCAGCCTCTTGTGGCCTGGGAATTGACTCAGGGTTAAACCTGGCTGAGGCTCAATAGAGCCATTGCATGCCTCTTTGTAACGTGAGCAGTCTAGATACTTCTTCAAGGCAAGTTGAGTGCAGAGCCATTTCTAGACCCCAAATGGCAGATCCCTAGGATACGGCGGCCCTTTCTATGATCCTGGCTCAGCTGATGGCCTGTATAAGGTGACTCCCTCTCCTAGGGACATCCTTATCACTCTACTTGCAAAAGGGCAGCATAGCACCTTCCCTCCAGAGGGATGCTTCTTCCCACATTGGGTTTTCCATAACCTTGAGGGACCAGGTATGTGAGTAGCTCAGGGCCTGCTGTGGAACTGACTGAGGAAGCCAGAGAGCAACATGGAAGGTCCGGCAGGTCCCTAGCAGCCTCCCCTCCCTTGCAGGGCAGGGAACCCAGAATGGCAGTGGCCTTGTTGCTCCCAGAGAGGGGCCATCGGGTGTGTATGTCACCCCAAGGTTAAGATTCTACTCCCACTTTTACTGACCAGGACACTTGACCAAAATGGCAGAAAGCTGCCCAAGAGTCTACCTAGTTAGGTGGCACTTGAGCTAACTCAGCCTAGTATAAAAGGAAACAGACTTGGTACCCAATGGGACCCAGCACTCACCAGCTCTTGGTAGACTCAGCTCACAACAGAGCATCCATCTCTTCTGGGAGTGGACGTTCTTACCATAACATCTGGGATATACCGAATGTGCAGGAAGCAAGCTGCCCCGTTGCTAAGTGCAGTTTTTAGGGTTCACAGAGGTCCTTCATTCTTTTTGGGAGATACTGTGAGGACCTGCCAGTATCTCAGCCCATGTCCAGTACAGAGTTTAAGCCAAGGGGCAGGGAGGGACATAGGCTATCTAGTCCTCTCAGCTTTAGGCAGGCAGGACCTGTCAGCGCCTTGGTGATAAAGAGCAAAGAGGCTGGGAATAATTGTCCAGACAGCAGAAGCTGAGGGGACCTCATGGCAGAGGGGGCCCTGCTGAAGCTGCCCAGATGCAGTCAAGGTGACAAGGCCTCAGGAAAAACAGCGAGAAGAGTCTGCCCACTCTTCAACCCACCGTGCTCAGCGCCTCTTCTGTTCGGCTGTCCTCACCCGTGCGGCCTCCTTCCTTCCTACCCCAAACCTACCAAGGAGGAGGAGTGGTTACAATTTAGAAAAATGGTTGCTGGGAGCACGGGATGCTGGAACCTCATCATGCCTGAGATGAGAGCTGTACCCATCAGACCTTGCCTTACTTGCCTCGGGGCTCTTGGCTGCAGAAATGTAGTCACATATGAGACAACATAGCCAACAACTTAGCTGTCCCTCAGCCAGGCCATGGCACAGCTGGGCACAAGTATACCTAGGTCATTGGATGCCAAATACAGGCTGGTTGGGGCTATCTCCTGCGGCAGTTGGGGAGGGGATTACGGTGAGCGATTTGGAAGGCTGGGTGCTGGGGCCACTGTGTGCAGAACACACAGGGATGCCTTGTGGGGGTCCTTGCCTGCCCAAAGTATGGTATGGCTGTGAGACAGGGCAGAATGAATGGGGGGATCAGAAGGGGGAAGTGTATTCCTCTGATCCAGATGAAGCTAGGACCTGTATTTCTATTGTCACAGGGCATGGAGCTGAGGAGAGAGGAACAACGGAGGGCTTGGTCCCAACCTCCCAACTTCCATAAGAGTCCTGAAGGGCTCTGGGGGTCAGGGGTTGAGCCAGACTGCTCAGAGGGACATCGGGACAGGCTGGAGGTCTGCTGGTTCCTAGCAGGCCGACTGGCCTCCCCCCTTTCTCCTGTGATTTGGCACTGCCTCTCCCAGCTGGTGGAAACAGCATGTTTCGTGTTCTCTTTGGCTTCGTGATCATCTTCCAGTGGCTCCAAAAGCAACTTCCAAAGGGACAGCAGTCAGTCAAAGTCACCATCTGTTAACAGGTGCAAAGTGGCACCAGCAGGCTGCAGGGGTCAGAGGCATGGGCTAGGCTCGGGTGACAGGTGATGGCACTTTGACCTCTTAGGGGGTGGTGTGGTACCTGGGGAATATAGAAAACCTGGGGTGTCGACATCTCTTTAGGGACCCCACCCGGGGGCACCCAGAGGGAAGAAGCAGATGCTAGTAGGGGCTGGTGAGGGGAAAGTGGCCTCCAGGAGTGTCTGACAGCATGGCGTAGCACGGGGGAGCCAGACAGCCACTTCCCTAGAGATAGTGCGGCAAACGGCATCAGAGTCCCTGCTAGAAGGAAGTAGGACCTGAGAGGATCTGCAGAGCCGGGAGAGTGGCCTCCTAACCCCTCCACACACCTTTTGCTGCCTGGAGCACTGTGCTGGAAGGAGGGACATGCAGTCTCATTGCTGTGTTAGGTCAGGGTGACATCTGGAGTTTCACACGGGGTCTCAGACTGAGACAGACCCTAGAGATCACCCCTGTGTCGGCTCTAGGAAGTAGGGTGCTGTTTCCCCTTTTATTCTGACACTAAGTAAATCCCTGCAATGAACTCTTAGTCCTGTGTCAGTGACGCTGAGTTCTAGGGCTGCCCTTGCTTCCAGGACTTGGGGGACTTCTCAAGTAGACATGGGTGCTTGGGGGTACAGGATGGAGACAGCATTGGCACATTCTGCTCAAGGGTGGTCCTACCTGTACTCACCCCATGCCTGCCCCAAACCCCTGCCTGCGGGCACTCCACATCAAGGCAGCACGTTGGCAGCTGTTTGGCTCTGCTGAATCCCAGGTCCCTTTGATCAGCCGGAAGTCTGGGCATGTCTCCGTACCCAGGCCAGCTGAAAGAAGGCCTGCTCAGACGAGGTTGGGCCACCCATACGGGCTGCAGCTATACCCCTGCAGAAGCCCACTTCTGCCTCTGTCTGTGTGCCCCAGCAGGAGATGGTTCCAGGTACTCAGCCCTGGGCCCTGCTGTTCTTGTATCCTGGGAGCTGTTTTCCTGCCTTGTTCCCCTGACTCTGAGACAGGTCACTGAGGAGAGAGGAAACTTGGACACAGCCAGGTCTGATGTGCTTGGCTAAAGCTCTCCAGATGGCAGAGAGACCAGTGTGCTGATAATCTCCAGGCCCAGGACAGTAGGAGCTGTCCTCCTGGGCTCAGCTGCTGCTCCTCTCCTGAAAGTTTTCTGCTCAGACAGCTACCAGCTTCTGATCTGTTCTGCAGTCTCTGAAGCCTGGTTGTCCTTTCGGTAAAACCAGCTTCAATCAAAGCCTGCAGGGACTCTGCCTGCAGAGCAGAGCTCAGAGCCCAGAGTGCACGTGACAGCAGCTGTGTGAGCCTTGTCCACGCCTCCAGCAGGGCATTTCTACTGAGCCAGATGCTCTACCTGACACTCTCAGATTCCAGCTTCTCCCCTGAGATTGAGACTTTAT